GACATGTATTCTACGCAGCTCTCATTCTGTGAAACATAATAAGATAAACTGAGAGCTTCAACTCTCCGTGGAATAGTCTCGTTCTCACCGAACGGGGAAACCACATAAATCGTTGTGTTGTGCTTCCGTGTTTTCTAGATTTTACACATTTGCCTTAGTTACAACTTAGGTATTTAGGGGAATTGTCATCTTCTTTCTAGTGGTTTATGCATGAATTGAGTTTGTCTAGCGTTTATGCTTCATCTATGATTAATTATGCATGGGCTTGTCTCTCCAATTCTTTTCATCTAACCTACCACTTAGGATTTTATGAATTAGACTGGATTTGAGTGCCTTAAGCTAATTAGAAGTAGATTTATGATCTAGGAGTCTAGTATGGTGGACGAGGCAACCATACCCCTGCCTATTAGACGGCCACCTAGCTAATGCTAGGAAGTCGAGTGTGTGACCATCGACTCGATGGTCTAGTGTGTAGATGGGTAGAATCCATTTAGAGGAGATTGGTTGTATCTCTACAACTTGAAGCTAACTAAGATGACATTGGGCTAGTGGATCGGTGTAGGAGTGGGAACGGTTGCATGAACATTGATTCGATCCCTAAATTAGCGATCTATGCCCCTCAATTGCCATAACTCGTCCTTTTTTCCTTTTGCATGTCATTTCTTGTAGTTAGGGCGAGGGAGGCACCCCGAGTACCTCTTCCCTCCTATCGTTCCCTAGTTAAGTAATTGCCAACTGCCCTAAGTAACAGGTTGACTAGATAATAACCGAGCTAAAGTAGCCTAGGATACCGTGATCCTTGGAATACGACCTCGGTCACCAATCCACTATACTACTTCACCGATCTAGGGTGCACTTGTCCTAGATTGGGGTAACTAGTATTGTCGACGATCAAGTTTATACATGTAAAGCTTGATGATGCGTGCGACAACATATAAGCTATCAAATCAACAGGTAGAAATTTTACTTGTATTAGAAAGAAACTAGCATCACCTTATAAAAATGCCCCACTAAAGCTCAACTAGTATCACTTGCAAAACCCGATTTTGTGCAATGAAAAGATACCTCACATGTTGAGCCTACCCCACACTTTATTTCTTAAAATAGTGACTCGCTCTAAATTACCCTCTCAATCGAAGGCCAAACATAACCAACAATCGGGTGTATTATATTGGAAGTAAAGTTATAAAATTACCGAATCTGCGGGTCTCTAGATTTACCGTTACCTTGCTTTGGTTATTTATCTGTCCAAACAAGAATAATGATAAAGAAACAAAGCTAACTAAGCTACTAGAACCACTACTCTAACTAATTTACAAGTTGGGAGCTCACTTTGGCATGAACCCCCTAGTTCCTCCATTGGATCGATGTTGAGTACCCCAGATTGATTGACTCGATACTTATACCGCGAAAAAATCATAGACTCGATTGGAGTCCCTATTTGGGTTGTCCAACTCACTCAATTGCTCTGCCCGGAGGAAGCGTGCCAATAACTGTTGTTAGAAACCTAGGCATCCACAACTGATTCCCACGATTGGGCAAAACCCAATACGACACTATGATCCAATCACACTCGTTCAAAGACCCACAATGAAGAAATGGTAGTGCTCTATTCAACCTAGGATAGAGATCTCTCTCCTAGGTAAAAAAATCCTCAAATTGAGGGATGATATTAAAATCCAACAATGGCATGAAATACTCAATTCAATAGTTAACAGAGAATCACAATCATAGGGTATGTCACATACATCAATAATCAAACCAACATCTAGACCTAGGGTTCAACAATCTAAGTGAAAGAGAACTAACTCATAGAGAGAAGATATATTACAATATAAATCTTGAGTTCTTCAATCGTTATCTTATAGGCTTGATTTCCTTGCTCTAATCTCAATTCGAGCCTCCAATTCGGCCCCAAGATCACTCTAGATCTCTCTCTCTAGATATCACCCTTCGGGTGTTTTTGGGTGAAGTCCCTACTCTCACAAGCTCTCTCCCTAAAAAACCTGCCAAAAACACCCTTTATACTCGCAAACAGTGCACGTTTCACAGCCAGATGTCATGGTCATGACATTTAACACCTGATAGTGAGATCAACACAAAAATGGCTGCATTACAACCTCTTCAGCACGTCTCACGACTTCGTCTTGACTTTGACACTACGTTCGTGCATTGAACAAAATTCCCTGCCTTTTTGCACCGTCTCACGACCACACTTGTGATGTTATGACCAAGTTGCCCAAGTCGTGACTTTTTCTCTAAAAGTGCATCAAGGTCGGGCGGAAAGCTTTGGTAGCACTCGTAACTTGTGAAAGCTTTATCCATCCCAACCTCATCTTCATCTTGGACACCATTTTCTTCCTCAAACTTCCTTCTTGAAATTTTTTTTCTTCCCCTTGGGAACAATCAAGATCTTCCTCTTCTTTAATGCACACTTCCTCCTCATCAACTTCACTTCTCACCCTTTCTCGCTCTTCCTCTAGGACACAACGGAGAGCAAGTTGCCAAGCAATGTCCTCAATATGGTCAACTTGCATCTCTTCATTTGAGCCTAACTCTTTAAAGCTCGAAGTGGAAGATGGAAGAGTGTGGTCCACGCAACCTGGAATGTTCACAATGGGAGGAGTGTCCGCTTCTAGCAAGATTGCTAATGAATAATGGCGCATCACTTTCCTCTTACGCTTCCGCTGTCTCAATGGAAACTCTTGACTTGTCACTGCCTGAATTTATACTGAACGATTAGTGGAATCAGGATTACATAAATTATCACTTACCTATGGGTGTGTCTTCGCCGGTTTTCCTCCGCCTGGTGCTTACAAATGAGGAGGATAGCGGATGGAAGATTCTCGTTCAAGTATGCCTATGATCTCATAGGAGAGGAAGAACCAGATGCTCATCATTGCCACCCACGATGAAGAGCTCTTTGGAGGACACCAGCTATGCAATGCACGAGAGGTTTTCTTTGGCTAGCAGCCCATAATCGACTTATCATCAACGTTGAATGTAAACGAAGGCACTTGAAGACGAACGATGGATACAAAACATGCGGAGGCATCCTGAGACGATTATTCATGTGCTACGTGATTGCGCGTTTGAGAGAGCAACATGTGCGGACCTAATGAGCGATGAACCAGATTGGTATTTTTTTGGTCTAGAGCTTGCGGGATGGATGTTCCACTATAACTTGGGCCATAGCCGAGTGATAGATAACACCATTTTTCCAGGTACCTGCTGCATGTTGGCTTCTATGGAAGAACCAAAACAACTTCTTTTAGGACGAGTTGCAGTCCTATGCTCAAGTTTAGGCTAACTCTACACGATTGAGATGCCAAATTCTCAGAGCTTTAGAGAAGTAGAAACTGGTCATAAGAGCTGGGGGACTACGAACACCAACGACCATCAGTTGGCATCCACCTCAGCCAGGTTGGGCTTGCCTCAACACAGACGGGTTAATGATTCATTCTCCTTCGAGCACGGTAGCGGGAGGTATCGTGAGGGGAGAAGATGGCCACTTCATTCCAACTTTCACTATGAACTTGGAGGAAGCTCGGTCACTAGTGTGAGTTAGCCGGGATTGAGGCTCACTTGCGAGGCAGGAGTTTCGAAGGTGATTCGTCAGACAGACTCGAGTATGCTACTCCTCAACACTTCCACTATATGAGAGTGGTAGAGATTCGTAGTTGGCTTGCGCATCTCTTGCATATTTATAGGGGAACAATCGTTGTTGACTATCTTGCCGACTTGGGACATTCTTTTTCTATTGAATCTCGTACCATTGTTGTACTAGATAGTGTTTTTTCTACTGATTGTACCACAATACTATTAGAGTCCAAACATCCCATTCCGTTATCGAGTAAAGGTTGGGACGAAAGTTCCATTTATTAAAAAAAAACATGGTGTTAAGTGCTAACCCCTTGGTAGCTAACAACGCATCGATTCTAGAACATAGACATAACACAAAACAAAGACATAAACACAAACAACAATCACCATTGAGAGGAAATTAGGAAGAGGGAGGTAGTTTAGACGCACATATGCTTTGAGATTGAGGGTTTTCTCTCTTTTCTTCTCCTTTCCTCCTCGTTCAGTTTTTTTTATCTCCTCCTGAATTCTCCTACCTCCCATCACACCCACCGGCCATCGCCTCCTTCCAATCTATCAATCCTCCATTCATCATTCCTCAATGTACTCCAAAATGTTCACCAGAACTGATTCCTATTCCAATATCCAATAAGCTCAAGATTTCCACCGTATACTTGTCAAAGGGCCAATAAGTGCCCTCTCTTCTTTAAGCTTTCTGGGTTTGGGAAAGACTTGAATTTGCCTCCTAACTATTGCTGGTTGTGGCATCCAATTTATCGGGTTATCTGTATCTAAGTTCAGTGGCAATTGTAGATTGCAGCAATCTTCAATTCTTGATATTGGTTTGTCTCTTCCTTGCGTGTGTTATATATATACGGGCTAATAGTAAATTTGTTTGTCGGCTTACGATCATTGGAGGTTTCAGATGAAATGGTATTGAGAAATTTGTTGTCGGGTTTTCAGTTTGAAGGTTTCCTTGTGTTCTGAAGAATTGCGTTTGTGTTCTTTGGCTTGTGAGCTAGTGGGTTTCGTAGGACTTCTGTGATTTTCGAGGCCCCAAGTTACAAGGAACTTGCTATCCTTTGTGAGTGATATTTTAATCTCGAGATTATGAGTCGTCGTTTGCGGCGGAAAGTTGCAAAGAAGGGTAAAGAGAAGGTGATTTTCCCTTGCTATCCGGAGATTGAAGATGAGGTTGTTCCACCTCCTGAGAGGAACTATGTTGTTGTTGATTGGACAGGCTTGCCTGATGACACCGTAATTCAACTGTTTTCATGTCTGAATTACCGTGACAGATCAAGTCTTTCGTCAACTTGTCGAACATGGAGGGTTTTAGGTGCTTCTCCATGCCTGTGGAGTTCCTTGGATCTGCGTGCTCATAAATGTGATGCTTCAATGGCAGTTTCCCTTGCTTCTAGATGTCAAAGCTCAAGAAGCTTCGATTTCGAGGTGCTGAGACAGCGGATGCTATAATACATCTTCAGGCCAGACACTTGAAGGAAATAAGTGGGGATTACTGTCGGAAAATAACAGATGCAACTCTTTCTGTGATTGTGGCTCGCCATGAGGCGCTTGAAAGCCTCCAACTTGGACCAGACTTCTGTGAGAGCATAAGTAGTGATGCCATTAAGGCAGTAGCTTTTTGCTGTCCTAAACTTAAGAAACTTCGCCTCTCTGGTATCAGGGATGTTTCTGGTGATGCAATAAATTCTTTGGCTAAGCACTGTCCTGAATTGTCCGACATTGGCTTTCTTGACTATCTCATGGTTGATGAGGTGGCTCTTGGGAATGTGGAATCTGTTCGTTTTCTATCAGTTTCCGGGACATCAAATATGAAATGGGGGGTGGTTTCTCATCTCTGGACTAGGCTTCCTAAACTGGTTGGTTTGGATGTTTCAAGAACTGATATTGGTCCTGCTGCTGTTTCTAGATTGTTGTCATCATCTCTGACAATGAAAGTCATTTGTGCCTTAAATTGCTCTGCTCTTGAAGAAGACACCACGTTTAGCGGCGACAGATATAGAGGCAAATTGTTACTTGCCCAGTTCACAGACATCTTTAAGGGGATAGCGTCTTTATTTGCCGACAGTACAAAGAAACTGAAAAATGTTTTTGTAGATTGGATGGATGTGAAGCAAAAGGATAATAGCTTGTGAGATATAATGACATGGCTGGAGTGGATTCTTTCGCACACACTTTTGCGCACAGCTGAGAGCAACCCACAAGGTTTGGATAACTTCTGGCTCAAACAAGGTGCCACGATCTTGCTCAGGTTAATGCAAAGTTCCCAGGAAGATGTTCAAGAGCGAGCAGCCACAGGACTAGCTAATTTTGTTGTCATTGATGATGAAAATGCTAGCATAGATTGTGGAAGAGCTGAGGCAGTAATGCAGGATGGAGGCATACGTTTACTTCTGGACCTTGCCAAATCCTGGCGTGAAGGCCTTCAGTCAGAGACTGCTAAGGTAAAGTTTGTACAGATGTGTCCCAGTATTGGCCAGATCTCTTGTGTTCGTATTAAGCAATTATATTTGTTTCTTTCTGTGATCTCTTTGGTTTATCATCATAAGTATATGTGTCTTAACCACACACTTCATTTACTACACTATGGTACCCTTCCTAAAATGAGCATATTTGGTATCTTGAAATACTTTAATCCACTTGGGTTTAACGTTTTTTAAAAAATTTAGGCTATAGCAAACCTGTCGGTCAATGCGAATGTTGCTAAAGCTGTTGCAGAGGAAGGTGGGATCGAAATCCTTGCAGGCTTGGCAAGATCCATGAACAGGCTTGTTGCAGAGGAAGCTACAGGTGGACTTTGGAATCTTTCGGTTGGAGAGGAGCACAAGGTTGAGATGTTCAAATGTCATATGTATCTGTTATATGCTCTGGCTTGGATCAGACGACTAAATATGTCACTCGATTTTTCTTTAAGGGTGCTATTGCTGAGGCTGGTGGAGTAAAAGTTTTAGTTGATCTTATATTCAAGTGGTCATCTGGAGGAGATGGAGTTCTGGTATGGCATCAGAGATAGCCTTCATGCATTCTAGCCACTGACAATATCACTTGTTTGCTTCCTTTGGGATGCTTTTAACTGTTTTTGCAATATAAAGGGTGTGTTGGTTTTCATTGTATGTTCTCAGGAACGTGCCGCTGGCGCTTTGGCTAATTTGGCAGCTGATGACAAGTGTAGCATGGAGGTTGCACTTGCAGGTGGTGTTCATGCTTTGGTAATGCTCGCCCGTAATTGCAAGTTTGAAGGTGTCCAAGAACAGGTTTGCAATTTATAGTAAAAGCTAATTTATGGCAAGAGCAAGCCGTACATATTTGGGGGTTTTGTTGTTGGTTTTGGCTTGGGATATCAAAGGTTTTTTGAACAATTCTGAGGAAGTTGTGTTTCCCATGGTTTCATTTTAAGCTTGAATCTGCCGGTGCTATTCCCTTAGTGTCCCCAACTCCATGATATATTTTTCTGTTCTCTTTTTTGCCTCCGCTATAAAAGTCCTTATCTTGATTTCACCATCTCTAATCTGTTAGTAGAAGATTTGCAAGAGATGTTCTCTTATCCTGCCCATTGCTTGGCCTGTTATTATCTACATCTGAATCCACTGTTTCATCCATCGAAACAATAAACAGTGACACTTTGGATGATCACAGGCTGCTTGTGCCTGTTATCAGCTACATCTGAATCCTCTGTTTGATCCATTGAAAATAACCAGTGACACTTTGGATGATGGCAGGCTGCTCGTGCATTAGCTAACCTGGCTGCTCATGGAGATAGTAATACAAACAATGCTGCAGTTGGTCAAGAAGCAGGTGCCCTCGAGGCACTTGTTCAACTCACTCGTTCTGCTCATGAAGGTGTCAGGTAACTGTTCATGCTTTCTAATCGCCTATACAATTCTTCCTTCCACTATACCTTTGCATTCCCAGCTTTGACCTACTCATTTGGGCATGTTTCGTTATGTAATTTCATCTTGAATGCATCGATACACAAAGGTGTTTCTTTGTGTTTTCTCATCTCGTGGACTTTTCCTCTAACCATCCAGCGTTTTCTTCCTTATACCCTTTTATGAGTTACTAGTTTCTGAAGTTGTGTCTGGAGAAGATCATACAGTTATGGTTGAATGTATTAAGTTGTGATGGTGGTGTATGCATTTGAAAGGATTGTTAGTAATTGAAAATGTCGTGCGTCACTCTTTAAGAAGCTTTCTGCAAACGAAATGGACTTGATTTTTTTATGGGTATTTGTTTGTGCGAAATTTAACAGGCAGGAAGCGGCTGGGGCGTTGTGGAACCTATCCTTCGATGACAGAAATCGAGAAGCAATTGCTGCTAGTGGTGGTGTTGAGGCTTTGGTATATTTTGATTCTCAGAACCTGAATTTTTCAATCCAATTAGATGTCCATTGCAGAAAAGAAATCTTCCACGGAAGATGATGAATTCTGAAAATTTGCCATTAGCACTTCATGATAGGAATCTGGTGTGCTTAACACTACACGTCAAATAATGTAACCTTCTTAAGTCCATATCATTATAGATAGAGAGAAGAGCAGCATAGAGAAATTCACATTCTTAAAGATTTGTGCGTAAATCAACAGTGATGACCTTCCTTGTTTTCAGGTTTGTTTTATTAGCTCCGTAGCTTTCTATGTAAGGGAGACAGTACAATCCAGGATTTTGGTAGTACCTGCTTCTGTAGTTAGTCCTGACCCATCTTGCCAGAAGGCCTTCTTGTTGTTCACCTTATGTTTTCTCTTTCTTCCTGATCTGAAAAATCCCACTCCAGTGTTATGGTACTTTCTGCTGTTTTACTTTCCCGCAATTCTTAGGCTAGTTGGGTACTTGTCTATATGGTCCTTCTGACAGATGGATGTTTGCTCTTGTTGGTGGTTACCCCTTTTTGTTGCCCTTTCTCTTTCTCTGTTTCCGAGGGTTTGGGGTTTAATCTTCTACCTTTTGTTTAGGTTGCTCTTGCACAATCCTGTTCGAATGCCTCACCTGGTCTTCAGGAGAGGGCTGCTGGAGCACTCTGGGGACTGTCTGTATCAGAAGTCAATAGGTATGTGGTTTATAGCAATTGTTTTACAAGGAGGGTGGCCTTACTATCCTCCATTGTGGGAGTTGAAGTAGATCATGGTTTGGAAAAGAAACTTGAGAAAAGGGAATTTTGAGTGTCGTTTACTGATCAGAGCTCCAAAAGTAATCATCCATTTGTAGCACATCTGACTTTGAGATATTATGGTGAGTAAATAAGTGGTCGACATCTATTTGTAGCATGATAGTTCCTGTTGTGGTTGACTTAAGTGTTACTGCAGTATCTTTTCTTAGGACTGCATTGCTTTGTGCTCAACACCGCTTAGAGTCAGAAATATGGGTTTGCTTTTGTTGATGCATATACCTTGATACTTTCGAAATTTCTTTCAGCATTGCTATTGGAAGAGAAGGAGGTGTTGCACCTTTGATCGCACTGGCACGCTCTGATGCTGAGGTTAGTATGATTTCTAGGTTGTTGATATTGTTGTCTCTCAAGCCTCCCTCGGTCTGTAGTCTGCACAACACTATGTCTTTGCTATGATCTCTTCGACTGGGATTGTGTAAAAGAGAACCCACTTTTATTTTCCATGCACTGATTCTTGCTTTGCATTAAACTGACTTTCATCCGTATTGCACAAGTAGAACCACTTGTATAGGCTCTCTTTCTTCGGCATTCCTGCAATATAAAGTCGAACCTCATTTTAGGCTCATATTTTGTTTTCCTTCAGGATGTTCATGAAACTGCTGCTGGTGCTCTCTGGAATCTTGCTTTTACCCCTGGTAATGCCCTTCGAATAGTGGAGGAAGGGGGCGTACCCGCACTTGTTAATCTTTGTTCCACATCAGTATCGAAAATGGCAAGGTTCATGGCTGCTTTAGCATTGGCATACATGTTTGACGGGAGGTACTCATTTTGCTTCATATGTATTCAAACCATACTGTGTGTATTCAAACCATACTGTCCAGAATCATCAAATTGTCGGCTTTTGGCCTCCAGTTAACTATTTTCTTAGAGATTTGCTAAGTTCCAATTTTATTGCTTAAATTGAAAGATGAAAGGCAAATTTGAAAGCTATGCACTCTCTTCCTTGTGTTCAGAATGGATGAGTTCGCATTGGTAGGAACAACTTCTGAAGGGATTTCAAAGAGCATGAGCTTAGAGGGGGCTAGGAGATTGGCATTGAAACATATCGAGGCGTTTGTGCTTACATTCTCAGATCAACATGCATTTGCTGTTGCTGCAGCATCATCAGCTCCTGCAGCATTGGCACAGGTAACAGAGAGGGCTCGTATTCAAGAAGCTGGGCATCTAAGATGCAGGTCCTTACTCTGTCTTGTCTCCTCCTCGGTATTCTTAAAAGATGATGCAGGATGGTCTTTTTCCAGCACAAGAATTTGCAGCACCCGTTGAGGTTTCCGAGTGGAGGCCATTTTAAGGTCAGAGCTGCTCTTCCTACTAACGAGGATATAATAGAAAGAAGTGCATGCATGTGTAGATGCCACCCGGTTGCTGCGTGGGGAAAGAGTTCAAAGGTGGAAAGGAACAGTTGTTTTTATTTCATTTATTTGGTCACATGATTATTTGGAGGTGGGTTCTGTGGTTGGAGTTTGAGTCTTAGTTTCTTCCTCCTGTAACATCATAAGGATGAGTTTCCCTTCCCAAGGGGGAAATGTAATAGGGAACATAGGTGAAGTTGCGGGACATAAGAAAAGGGTGATGTCAGTTGAGGATTGTTTCTGTAGAGCCAAGTACATAACAGCTGTATGTCCTCAGGAAATCTGTATCATTAGGACATAGTTTCTTGTTGAATCTGTTAGAATTTGATTGTTGGAAAGTTTTCCCTTACTGTGAGAGAAGCTTTGAGAACTTGGTTAGCAAGGTGACATTTGAGCTCATTGACGCATGTAATGAAGAATCTGTTGGACCAGGGTAAGTCGAAAGCCGATAATCAAAGGCCTATGCCTAATAAATAGGTCGAGGAGTATCCTAAAGCATAATAGTATTGGGCTACGAAACACAAAAAGCCCAAGGAGAGGCACAACAACTTCCTTTAACGAAGCCAAGGCGTTGTGCGCAAAGCAAAGGCTTTTATTTTAACATAGCAGTTGATGCTGGTTGCAAGCCTTGTCCCTAATTGGTAAATGTCCCTAAACACCCGACCTTACATTAAATCCACTGACCAATCCCAAAGAGACGTTAGAAACATATGTTTCTAATATAAATTAATATTAATTGTAATAGTATTAGTAGGTAGGGGTAGGCAATGGGCGGGTTGGGTGGGTTTTGGTCTCAAATTGACCCACCCGCTTACTAGCGAGTTGGAATAATTGTGACCCGCAATCCACCCACATACTTTTGCGGGTTGGGTTGGGTGGGTGGCGGATGGATGCGGTTGGGTCGTGGGTCAACCCGCAAAAGCAATTCTCCAACTAGCTATTAGAAAAGTTGACTAACATTTATAATAAGTTCATAGCAAATTAGTACGATTGTATCAATAACTTGTGATTTTGATACAATTAATAATTTATACTTTGCATCTCAATATTTAATGGATATTAACAATAATTTGCATACCAATATCCAATATCTAATGAATATTGCACAACACAATAACCAATAATAGTAGTCAAAACTATTCTTTATTCTCTACCTTTTGAAGTATATGGTCAGACTATTGTGCAGTTCGAAAATATGATGAATATTCGATACTATAAGAAATAACATTTTTTCATATAAAAATAGGATGTGGGTCATACGGGTGACCCGCAATCCACCCACCACCCACCCACATAATTCTTCTCCCTGAGATTTATCAATCCGCAATCCACCCACATCAATCACCCACTGCGTGCGGGTCGGGTTATTTGCGGGTGGATCGATATCAATCCGCGGATTAACCACCCACGTGCCCACCCCTATTAGTAGGGTTAGTCGGCTAAGTATTACGGTGAGTTCTACGATACTCCGAGTGAAAATCGGGGTACCACATAATTTGAGTATGAAATCGCTATCCAGACATTAAATTGACTGATCTTTCAGACATGATACTATACCCTAACCCTTAAAGATCAAAATCTAGGTCTTAATTCTTTAAATCTTATACTCCAAGATCAATTTAATTAGAAACAATAATCGACAGTTATGATTCATCCAAATATAGGCAGAAAATGAATGCACCATTTTAGGGTTTATAGTTTATGATTGAGATAATTAGGACCTAGGGTTCACTCATTAAGGGTTAGGTTATAGTATCAGGCCAAAAAATCTTGATAATTCGAGGTCTAGATAGCTTTTTCATACTCAAGATATGTGGTACCATGAATTTCACCCAGGGTACCATAGAAGTCACCATATATATATATATATGGTGGCGTATTCAGTGCACCCACTTTTTTTGGTGCACTCAGTGCACCGGCCTCATAATTGTCATTCTGAGCATGTGATCCTTGTCAAAACGGTATCAATTATTGCTTATGATATTATGAACAAGAAGCACATGAATTTGAAAAAAAAAATCATTCAAAATTTACTTTAATTTGAAAGATTTAGGATTTGGGGATTTAGGGTTAGGGTTTAGGTTTACAATTTCGAATTTTGGGTTGGGATTCAAAATTGAAGGTTAAGAGGTTAGGGTAATAGATTGATTTGTTATGATTCTATCTCATATCATCATATTAGATTGAGAGTACTAATTAAAATTCAAAATTTGATGCACTATGGACACTTTTAGAGTTGGGTGCACTGAGTGCACCCAAAAAAGTGAGTGCACCGAAGTAGCCACCTATATATATAGGTTCAGGCTAGCGTACGCCCGGGCGTACGCTAACCTAGCGTACGCCCTATTGAGTCGGGCGTACGCTAACCTAGCGTACGCCCTATTGAGTTTTGCTATATAGATCATGAATTAATCGGATTTTGAGGCATGATACTATACCCTAACCTCTAATGGGTGAACCCCAGTCCCTAATTTTCTAACCCAAACCATGAGGTTCGTTTAATCTTAAAATGAAAACCAATGAAAATTTCGAAGAATCAGAATCGTTGATTTTCATTTTTAAGATTAAACGAATCTCATGCTTTGGGTTAGTGAATTGAGGACTGGGATTCACCCATTAGGGGTTAGGGCATAGTATCATCTCCCAAACTCCGATTAATTCTTTGTCTAAATAGCAAAACTTAATGGGGCGTACGGTAGGCTAGCGTACGCCCGGACGTACACTAGCCTTTGCCATATATATATATATATATATATATATATATATATAGTGACGTATTCGGTGCACCCACTTTTTTGGGTGCATTCAATGCACTCGCTTCATAATCGTCATTCGAGTATACGATTCATGTCAAAACGGTATCAATCGTCGCTTATGATGTTATGAACAAGAAACACATGAATATGCAAATAAAAGTCATTCAAGATTTACTTTAATTTGAAAGATTAAGGGTTAGGGATTTAGGGTTAGGGTTTATAATTTGGGGGTTTGGGTTTGTGTTCAAAATTGAAGGCTTAGAGGTTAGGGTAATGAATTAATTAGTTGTGATCATATGTTATATCATCATTTCAGACTAATGTTACCAATTAAAATCCAAAATTTGTTGTCTTAAGCCTACTTTTAGAGTTGGGTGCATTGAATGCATTCATTTTTGTGGGTGCACCGAAGTAGCCACCTATATACATATTGATTTCTCATTCCTAACTATTCTTCCATATTAGATAATTAGAGTTTTTTTTGGGACTTTTTATGAGTGAACTCTTTGCTTTGTCTACTATTATAACTCAACATTCTTTCCATTATTTTTTGTTTTATTATGTATCATGTATATGTGTCTTCATCTTTATTGTTTTTACTTTTTAGTACTTTGGCTCACTCGCCCATGATTATAGATTTATTTTTCTTTACTCGCAGATTAATAACTACGCTATCTGCCGCCTCCCGCCGCGCAGCGCGAGCTTCCGTACTAGTATAAGTAAATTGCAATTGAAGCAGTGAGTTGAAACTTTAGAACCAAACTCCAGTAAATTGAAACACAGAGCACAAACTTACTAACAATATAGTTCTGGTTTTGGTGTCCCACTAGATGGGAGCCCAGAATGCAAGTCCATGACGTTTTATAGTCATCCATTAACCCATCAAATATAACCAACAATAAGCGAAAAAGAAGAAAAGAGAAAAAAGGAGAAAATTACACCCACACTGTTTAATTGCAACAAATCACATCTTAATCTTTTGTGCTGCCAGCCATTTCCAATGTCGCCAATCGTAAACTTGGCTAGCAAGTAGAATTGAGAATGAGGTCGAAAGCCCTTTGGATGCAAGACTTGAGCTTGTTGGGATCTATGAAGCCCTTCTCCGTTCCTATGGACACTCTCATCTGTCCCATGTAGCTCACCATCGTGACCGTCAGATTCTGCAATCAATTGAAGAATTTATGGCTAGCTAGCAAAAGCAAGCTCAACTACTACTTTTTGCTTGTTTTCTCTCTTATGACAGATTCAATATACAGATTCTTCCGTTTACACCATTTCAAACAAAGGTCAGTCAATTTGTAAGACCATTTGTTCGTAGAACCAATTGATTTCAATAGTTCAAATTGTTGAAAGAGGTTCAATATTGAATCTTATACGAAAGAAAGACGACCCCCGAACGTGTTAGCGAACTAACCACTTGGTCCCAATAACTCGAGTTGTTGGGAAAGGGATAGTTAAGCCTTTTAACCTCTAATACGCCCTCTCAAACGAAAGCCGATGCCGAATTGTGGATTTTTTACGGTTTGCACAGGTTGAACCCTTGTGCTGCCAAACCACGAGGCTTTAGTTTGCACAGGTTGGACATACCATTCCTTGTGCTAAACGAATTGGCATGAAATGGGGGTCGTTATGAGGATTCGAAACCATGACCTTTCGATTCTAGGCTCTGATACCATGTTAGCGAACTAACCACTTGGTCCCAATAACTCGAGTTGTTGGGAAAGGGATAGTTAAGCCTTTTAACCTCTAATAGAACGCCAAAAAGGGAGGTACCTGAGGGTTGCCAGCAAGCAGAAAGTAGAGGCCTTTGACGTGGTGATCGGCGAGGGTCATCTTCTCTGTAGGACCGATCATGTTGGTGATTGCCATGCTTGTGTTCTTCACTGCCCAATACACGTAACTAGATGCTGCCTGCAAATGCAAGTGCAGGACACAACATTCAGTTAACCGTTCCTCTTTTGTCCTCTTCTTTTGACCATCGGAGTCATTGCTTGTTTCGTTATTTCTTGAGTCATAAATAAATTACTTTTGTAAAAAAAAAAACACTCTTTGTATTTTAACTTACAATGAAAATGATTAATTTTCAAAGTAGAACCAGTAAGTTTCGAATTATGGACCCCAAAAAAAAATAATTTTACCTTTGAAAACGGGTAAATGACACATTTGGTCACTGAGATTACTAAATCGTGTCATATTTAGTCACTAGAAAAATTTAATATCAATTTTGGTCACTCGAATTACTGAAACAGGTCACATTTGGTCACTCTTCTGTAGCCTCTGTCCAACTCTGGTCACTCGAATTATTGAAAAATGTCACATTTAGTCACTCGGATTACTGAAACATGTCACATTTAGTCACTCTCCCAAAAGTTTCCGTCCAACTACATTAATGGAGTTGGACGGAAACTGACGGGAGAGTGACTAAATTTGACCAGTTTCGGTAATTCGAGTGACCAAAATTGATATTAATTTTTTCTAGTGACTAAACATGACACAATTTAATAATCTCAGTGACCAAATGTGTCATTTACCCCTTTGAAAACCCAAAATTACATTTGATTATCTTTGGACTCCACTGAACTATATTTTCTGTCTATGTTAATGTGTGTTGATGGAAATCCTGATCAGAAACTGTGATCGGATTAACCTTGTACTATGTTTTCTACTATGTTTTCTAGACCCATGGTTTTAGGGCGGACTATTTAGTCCGGGCTATTTGGTTTTATCCGAAACCAGACCGTATAACCGGGACCGGGACCGGATAGCAAACAATCAAATTCAATATTTGGGCTTCGATTGGAGGTAAAAAAATCGTTTGGGACCGGATCGAAAACCGGATAAGAAAGCTCAACACCCAAAACTTAACCAACTCCTCACCCTTTGAGTCCTCAGGCAACTCAAATTCCCACAAGCTCAATCTAAAATCAATACCGAATTGGGACCGGACTGTATCAAATCCAATCTTTGATCCTTATATTCCCGAAAACACGGACTGTAACCAGATCAATTCGGACCAATTTAACCGGACTGTATAGCCACTTTGGATATGTGGATGTCATCTCCTAGCCGACAATTAATAGGGATTCTTGTGCAGACATAATCTGAAAACGAAACTGGAACAAAGGAAATCTAAGATACATAATGATTAGCATACGCTAAAAGATCCTTTTTTTTTCATTTTCCATATTCGAGATTAAAAATCTCAAGTAGAACAATTAAATAATTGTCGGCACTTTCCCCATTAAATGATGAGTGAAAGAGTTAGCTCAGCTGGTACCACCACCAAACTCGACATGCCCACGACCCTACAGCTTAGCTTCTATTAAATATAACCCCAAATGTTAGTTAATCATCAGCCCCACATTATTTATGAAAAAGGCATTCATGAATGTCATCATTTTTCTTATTTTTCCCACGAATAATTCGAATAACTTTATAAAAAAAAATAATTATACGACAAAGTTTCAATAACGACCGGACAGTACTAAAAAGTCATAGCAAAACCCGGTGGCTACTTGTACTTAAAAAAAAAAAAAACAAGTAATTTTATTTCCTCCCAAACAATAAAACACACCAATAAATAAATAAATAAAAAGTAACGACGTACGTACCTCGGAGCCTCTCAGCTTCCTGTAAAGCTGAATGAGGCCGCCGTTGAGGTGCACGGCGACGGAGGATCTCTTCTTCTGGATGACCTTCTGGGTCGCCTTCAGAAACTCCAACGAACGGCGTGCCATCGTCGACTCCTGGCGGCCGCCGTTATCATCGTTACCTGTTGCGCCGCCGAGCATCAGCTTGGGCAGGCCGACATGGAGAAAGGCGAAGTGGTTCCCCCAGGGAGATTCGGTCGCCTTGCTCATCATCATGTCGTGGACCGAGTTGTAGCTGCGGAGCATCCTGGTGTTCAAAACGACGATGGATGTGGTCTCCGCGTCCTCCGAACCCGGTTCCATTTCCTTCATGTACATTCGCGTCCCCAAGAACACGGTCCCTGTCACCACGTCGTTCACTGTCTGCACATGTACATTAATTAATTAATTAATTAATTACCATCCATTCTATTATTACCACTGTTCCTTTATGAAGTACGAGACGAAGTTGAAAGCTACAGGACATATGAAAGGAAGTACGTACTTGTAAAAGTACTTCCATTATTGAGTGGTAACATTTACATCTCGCTAAGTTGGTGGGCGTTGTTTGGGAAATTGTTAACGTGGTATTTATTTATAGAGTGAGATAACTCGTTAAATTATTGATGTGGTATTTTTCGGCGTCCTTTCGGTGGTAATTTGTGATGTCATATTGAAAATATCTCATTTTATCGAATCGAATATTCTATCTGATATTTGGTATTTAACAAAAATAGAATAAAATTAGTTACGTTCAAATAACTTTGGATATTATTAATGCAATGTACGTCGTCGTCTAGAAATATTGACTATTGAACAAAAGAAGAAGAAGAAGGAAAAGAAAAACGTACCATTCCCAGCTTGCTCTTGATCTGCTTGATTTGATCAAGAGAGAATGCCATCGTCGCCGCAGAGATCGGCCGGAACCCGACTCCCGTCTCTCCGGAGCGCACGGGCGACAGGTCGTCGGCCAGGAGCTTGGTCTTGGAGAAGCTCGTCCACAAATCCGACACCGTATTGAAAGCCGACGCCAGAGCCCTCGCCACCGCCGCCTTCTTCCCGCCGCCGGCGTCACCCGAGCGGCGGATCCGGATGTCGGGGAACGTCAGGGGAAGGGAAGGGTCGTCGGAACGCTTGAAGCAGGAGAGCAGCGCCGCCATCAGGGAGTAGCCGTCGCCGATGGCGTGGTGAATCTTGAAGACCACGTTTCCCGCCGCGTTCGTCGTCGGGTACTTGACGAAGTGAATCTCCCAAAGCGGGCGGTTCCCGAGGAAAAGCTCGGCGGATATCTCCGACAGGTAGCCGCTGAAGCGCTCCTCGTAGTATTCCGGCGACCTGTTCTCCGGGAAAACGGCGGTCTTGATGTGGTCCTTGAGGTTCACTTCCACCCTCTTCCACCGTTGCTCCCCGTCCTTTCCCGTCACCTACCGCGAAAAAAAGTTATTTTAAACAAGATAAAAAAAATACGTACGTGTACGTGTATTAAACGGAGTAAGGGAATTTACGATGACGGAGGAGAAACGAGGGTGGACGCGGAGGAGGAGGGTGTCGAGGAGGAAAACGAGGCGAGAGTGAGGGATGTTGATCGGTTCTTCAATTTCCAAAACGGCGAGGACGGCCAGTGAAATGGACGAGCTGTTGAAGTAGACGCCGAATGGGCTCACCGGCGGCCGTCGTTGCTCCTCCTCCTCCTCTTCCTCCATCCCTACCATATTTGCCTCACTTTCCGCTTTCTCTCGTTTGTACTTTGTATGATCTAGTTTCTGAATTGAGCTATGGACCATTTTCCATTTGCATTGAGTTGCTCGCAAGCTTTTGGACATATATATACACATAAACTAGACAGGAAGCCCGCGCTGCCCGGCGGGGTTCATAATTATACAACGGTGTATGTTATGATCATTATCTTGGCTAATTTTATCTAAACGAGTTTTAAGCCGGCAAGTTGGTCCAAAAGTGATTTTTTTTTTAATATAATTTAGTTTGTGTCTCACAACAATGATTCTAACACGCATGAAATTGTTGTGTGTTAGGATCATACAAAATTAAATATTGGTATAGTTTAGTAATTAAATACTATAAGAAAGGTGTCGCGCTTGAACTATGATAGTGAATTAGTCATTCGTGTATGGTGGTATAAAATTGAATGTTATTAATCAATGTAATTAAAATCGCGCTATTAAATATTAACTTTATGCTTTTATGTTTCTAAGTCGCCAAAATGTTTCTACGTAGAATCGCGTTTTTTTCCTAACTAATCTAATCAAAATCGTGCTTAAAAGCTTACGTCTTTACGGTTCACGTTTTGGCCAATAATAGCCACTTTTCAAAAAATATATAAAATAGTAATTTTCGTCCAATTCTTTAACGGTGTCAATTAACATGTTGAATGGACTAACGACAATGGATGACGTGGCAATAGTTTGTCAAAACATTTCCACGGGAATTTTACTTTAAGAAAAAAAAAAGCAAAGACCAATATCTCCATGGCTGCCTCGTTCTGTACTTTACTCAATCATTCTCTGCCTATCTCTCCAACTGCCATGGCCGCTTCTTTCTCCAACTCCAGAACCTTCCTCTTGACTCTCATCCTCCCCCAGCATCTGCCGCAACCGCCAAAGCCTTCCTCCGATCTCAATCTCCTCCGCCTCCTCACTCTCCTCAATCTTCCCTTATCCTTTTCCCTCTTCCTCATCTGCAATCTAACCCTCAAATCGCTGTTGTGAATCCCTTGTCCAAGGAGTTTCAAGTAAAACAAGTGTCATTTTGCTAGATTCCAACAATTTTATTCTCTGGAAGCTGAATCTGAATGGGTCAGTGAAGGGGGAGTTGTGGCAGAGCTTCGATTATGCTATGGATACCCTTCTCCTGGGGAAGAAATTGGGAGCAGAACTCAGATTTACTAAATTTTTTGCTAGCAACCGGTCGAGATCCTTGATCACCAAATGGGTCGTCGTCTTCAAGAGGAGTGTGCGCAGATATGAATAGTCCAAGATTTTGGAGACATCAATTCCAAGTCAGATTGATTTTACTCTTGCCGCCCTCAAATCTGTCTCTGCCACTGATTTAGAATCTCGATTGCTGCCTTCTTGATTTGTTCTTCAGGGATTTGGAGTTTTCTCTTTACACCAACACTCTATGACAATCGTTGTTGTCCTCCAGCTCGTGCTTGAGTATACTCCCAAAGCCGAGGCCAAAGCAGTAGAGGAGATGGCATCGGAGAAGGAGATAAAGAGACGGAGAGGGGGCGGCGGCGGCGGATTTGGTGACAGAGAATAGTCTGGATCTGAACGAGGAAGGTTTGACGGTGGCAACAGATGCAGGCGATGAGCTGGTTTTTGACTATGGCATTCTGGATTTCTCCATGGAGCTTTTGGCTATGGTGGTTGTTTTCCGGCGAGAAAACTTTCGTTGAATTGAGATGGATTGCACCTTTGACTTCTATGGACAAAGATTTCTAAGGCACGGCTCAAACCTCTTCAAACAATGTTCGAACGAGGGTGTTTGATTGATGGTTTTTGGGAACGAGGTCTAAATTAAATTACTTCTACTCCTATGGAGGTTCGGCGAGAGCTCCAAACTACGAACTACATCTATGGCTACATGATAGAGAAAAGGTAAATGATAAACTTGACATGTGTGTCAATTGTGTGGTTTTGGAAAACCTTTGTTTCTGTCGACCCCTCCTCTTATTTATAGCCCCGAGGAGGTAACCGCCATAGAAAACCGCTTGTTGGATAACTGCTACAAATCCTTCTTCGGTAGAAAACCGCCTCTTGGATAACTCCCAAAAAGAACCGCTCCCTGCTTCCTCGGAGTGGTGGTTACTCCTTCAACCGCCTAGGTGCCTCTCTTGGAACCGTCGTGGGTTTTGGAGTGTAGCTTGCCTCGCCTGGTCTTGTTCTGAATCTCGTGCCATGCTAGTCTTTTGACGAGCATGTGGTGTCTCGCAAAAGGGGGTCGTGGTCTTCTTGCCTCGCGGCCATGGACTTCTTACTCATGTCCATGGCCTTCTTGTCTTACGGCCATGAACTTCTTACTCATGTCCATGGCCTTCTTGTCTAACGGTCATGGACTTCTTGAGACATATTCACTAGTGATATAATGCTCCATCACCACACCCTTCTCATTCGTGTCCATGGCCACTCTTGTGAAGTGGCATGGACTTCTCAATCATGCACAAGGCCCCTCTCATGAGGCGGCATGGCCTTTCCATACTTAGTATTTTCAATCATTTCTAATGCTTCTTGCTTCGCGTCCATGGCCATCACATGACACGGCCATGGACCTCTTAATAATGCACATGACCCTTCTCGTGAGGCGGCATGGCCTTCTCAGACTTAGTATATTTTGGATCATGAGGCGACATGGCCTCCTCATTCGCAGCCATGGACTTCTCAGTCATGTATGTGGCCCTTCTCGTGACACAGCATGACCCTCTCATACTTAGTATCTTGTCTCGCGTCCATGCCCCTTCTCGTGAAGCGGCATGGACCTCTCGTTGAAGTGGCACATGCTTCTCCTTGAAGCGGCATGTACCTCTTCCAGACTTAGTTTATTTTTCAGTCATTCAGTCTTGATCTTGGGGCGGCATGTGCTCCTCGATTTCTAGATGGACATGGCCCTCTTCATGAGGCGGCACATGCTTCTAGATTTTAGATGGACATGGCCCTCTTCGCTGAGGCGGCACATGCTTCTAGATTTTAGATGGACATGGCCCTCTTCGCTGAGGCGGTATGTCACTCTCCAGACTTAGTGGCTTGGGCTTAAAATCAATATCCATAAGGCCCAACTTAAACAATATTAATTGTTATAATGGGTGTGGCCTTATAAACTCATTAATTATCTTGTAACTCACCAATGTGGTACAAGACAAATTTTATGGTGTAAACAAATGCCCTCCAACTACTTAGTGCATAAGGATTATGGACTAAGTAGTTGAGACCAATTTGACCACTTATATCCCTTCTCTAACTGGTCCTCGAGTAACAAGGCTTGTCTCTACTCACCCATGAGCACAGGTTCAATAAAACTTGAAATTTTTTCCTCTAAAACAACACCATGGTACCTACGTCTTTCAAGTGGCTAGCTATGCAGCCTATGTTGTCTTCATTCATGTGTAGCAACGAGAAACCCTTGCCTTGTTGGCTTCTCATCAACAATTCAGTGAGGCCCCTACACTTTTCTTATTTTACATGCTCAAGCTGGCCATCACTCATCTCCAACCCACGATGCCCTTAGGTCGTGGCCAACATCCAAATTGGTGGCCACTTGGGACAAGACGACATAGCATGGCAAGACGCAATATCTACGACTCGGTATGCCAAGCCATCACTACAACTTGGTGGTAAGATCTTCACATCAAAGTCTAATAACTTCGACTCAAAATTTCCACTTTGTTATTTTCTCTCTATTTTTTCTTATATAGCCATGATTGGCTTTTATTTATTTATTAATATATATTATATTTATTTATTTAAGATAACAAGGAGTGACAAACGTCACTGCTCTCCATCGCCTCTGGCAACAACTAATGCGCCAAAGGTGTACACCCACTGCCACGTCCATGGATTAAAACATGCAAGCCATCCATATGCCACATGCTTCTTTTCCTCCATGGAACATGATTCTCCATACATTAATTTTGAATCTTCTAGCTCACCAGTGGGTGGTATATGATCAGCATGTCTAGCCTTGGTGGCCTTACATGGGGTCTCATGCTCATATGCTTTAGCCACATCACTTGACATGTCAAGACGACCATGGGTTTTCCTCTGCCTTGGTTTTCTCATGGTTGAGACATGCTTACTCTCCTCATGTTGTTGGAGACGATGTTCAGTCTTGACAAGTTGGCGACCACCCATGTGGCCCACTTGACTTTGTCTTTCAACCTCCAAACCTTGTTGACTCCTGCCCTCAGCACACGACCATCCTTGGTTCTTTGTGAGGCCATGTCTGGTTTGTGCGTATGATAACTTCTTATGCATACCCCTATGTCCATCATTTATGATTGATGGCATGTACTTACTACTCATGGACATGGACTTGCCCCCCTGTCCACACTTAGCCAAACTTGCGTACTTATCACAAGCATGTGTAGGTTGGAATTCTTTTAGATTCTTGGACATGCCCCCTACTCCATTATTCATGGTGGGTGACATGCCTCCTTGCCCATACTTAGCTAAATTTTCAACACTACGAAAACTCTTTTTGGTTTTCTCACGTCTTTTCTTGTTGGACTTGACCCCATGTCCACTATTTGCGATTGGTGGCATGCCCTCTTGTCCAAACTTAACCATATTTTTACACTTATAAAAGCCATGGGTGGCTTGGAACTGTTGTGTCTTCCAAGACATGCCCCTTACTTCATACTTCATGATGGGTGACATGCCCCCATGTCCAGGTTTAGCCAGACTAGCATGCTTATCATATGCATGTGTGGCTTGGATTTCATATGGCTTCTTGGACATGCCTTGTCCATACTTGGACAAATTTTTAAATCTACAATAACTTTTTATGGGTTTCTCACGTAGTGACTTGTTAGATATGCCCTCGTGTCCACTCGAAGTGGTTGGAGGCATGCCCCCCTTCCCATACTTAGCCAAATTAGTATGCTTAGCACAAGCATGTGTTGCTTGTGATTGATGTAGCCTCTTAGACACCGCATGCCCCCCAGATGGACATCTCGGGTTCAGCTTGTGGGAAGTTAGATTTTCATGCCCCCCTTGCCGAGCTCTATGCGTTTTGAGTCCATCAGAATCGCCTCCTTGCATACTCAATA